TTAATAGGCACCCATCTCTCTATAATGGTTATCACTGTCTAAGCCCCACGCAGGTATTAATGGCTGTACCTTCACTACAGTCATGGGAAGTTAGGAGGAATTTCCCCCCCCCCTTTTTACAGGTGGAGAAACTGAGGTATAGAGCCATTAAGGGACTTGCCCAGGGTCACATGGGTCAGCAGCAAAGTCAAGAACAGAAGCCAGATGTCCTGAGTCCTAGTTTTGTACTTGAACATCCAGCCCTAGGGACACGCACAGTACCGCAAGTGCACGCATGGTTGGACATCTACTTAGTCACAGGCAGATGCAAACTGAGCCCTGCGTGCAGGCATCCAGCAGGGTGCAGCCACAGTAAGTGCATATCCAGGCACGTTCGCACACAGTGAACTGCGAGGAACTCCAGTTGCCTGCAGCATTGAAAGGCAGCAGGTACCTGGGAGCCTGATGCTGAGACTACTAAGCCATCCACCTCCATTCGAAAACAAACACTGGAAATTGGCCTGACTTTAACAACAGAAAAACAGACTCTGCCCAAAAGTTGCTGCCCCCACGAACAGGCAGCAGCGTGAAGAATGCCGAGCAACATCTCCTGAGCAGAAGAAGAGCCTGAAGCCAGGTCCAGGCAAGGACGGAGCTGGTCAGCTGCTCACAAGAGACTGCCAGAATTTCTATTCACAGGGGCCTTCTGAGTGATGGAGAGTTTCAAAGGGACAGCTTCAGCCAACTCCTTTCACGCTGGCTGCTCTGCAGCAGAGGAGAGCAGACTAGTGGTCTGAGCACAGGATTGGAAACAGGAACTTATGGGTTCTGACCCTCATTCTGAACTCCGCCTTTCTGCCTCTGTCTCGGTAACACGTGGCTGATATTCAGCTTTACACTGCTCCTGGGAGATGGGTCAATATTTGCAAGGCTCTTTGAAGACGTGCTAAGTATTTATTCTGCAGCATTACAGTTCATTATGCAGCAGCGTATTCAGTTTACAGCTATTTCATTAGTGTCCAAGTTGATCCAAATAGGTCAGTCTCATTAAGTTGACATTTCCAGAGTGAGCACACGAGGAAGCTCTTCAAATCAGGGTGCTGAGGCAGAGTGCTCAGAAAGCTTAGCTCACTATTACTAAGAAACCACTGGAAAAATTCTGTGCTTATCAGTGAACTGCTGCAGAAGCCCATAACTGTGGCTATGAGGGAGGAGGAGGGAATTAAGCCCCTAGAGAATTTAATGGAAACTGGCAGAGAAGCAAGAGGGTGCGTGGTCACTATCACACTATGTATTTTGTGGGGCTGGCTGTCCTGTGCTGGCCCAGACCCCTTGTTCTGATCGAGGTAACCACCAGACACCCACCTAGGGGACTTGGGAGAGGGGTCAGGTGACAGTGCGCAGCACAGGCTCTCTTACCCGACAGACAAAGCACTCAGGGTGCCACAGGGTATTCAAGGCAGAGATGTAATTTTCCAGGATGGCCCGGGCGCAGCCCCCACACTTCGGAGCGAACATGTTGAAGTAATCCTTGCGGCAATAGGCTTTGCCATCCTTCTCATGAAACCCTGCCAAGGACACAAGGGAAAAACAGAGCCAGACAGCATCAGCTTGTGACCTTCCTTCATGGGAACACCCAGCCAGACTCCATGGGGCTAACAGGGTGGCTGGGATCCCCAGTCACAGACCAGAGGTATCCCTTATTCTGCTATAGGAGGAGCACATGCTACGCCTCCTGTAGTCTCCATGTGGAAATAGCAATCACTGTTAGCTCCCCATCCACTAAGTAACACCACAGTCCCTCTCTACCCACACACCCCCAGTTTTCTACATCACTTGCTCTAGGACAGTAGTCCCCACACTTTTCATGTCGTGCCCCCCCTTACCTCTGTCCGCGCCCCACTCCCTGAAGCTGCGGTCGGGAGCGGGGCCGCGACTCCTGTGGGGAGGCGCAGACAGGCTAAGGTGGGTGAAGATGGGGCTGGAGTGCTGGCTGGGAGTGGAGTTGCAGCCGGGGCTGCGGTCGGGAGCGGGGCCACGACTCCTGGGGGGAGGCGCGGACAGGCTAAGGTGGGTGAAGATGGGGCTGGAGCCCGGGCCGGGAGTGGAGTTGCAGCCGGAGCTGCGGTCCGGTTCAGAGCTGCAGCCAGGCCAAGTGCCAGAGTACAGGGCCACAGCTGGGAGCAGAGCGGGGCTGAGTGGCACTTCCTCTCCACCCCCTATGGGGGTAGACTGGGCCCTGACGCTCCCCCCAAACATGCCCCACAGTTTGGGGACCGCTGCTCTATGGAAAGGACCCATCACAGCCCCTTATGTTGCCTCCACCCCCACCCCTTACTTGCTTCACCAGAGTGGCTTCTCTCTGCACAAACCAATAGTACCTTCAGGTCCAAAGAAAGCGCCACACTGCGCACAAAAGAAGTGTTCTGGGTGCCATGTCCTGTCCAGGGCTGTCACCACTTTCTGTTTGGGAGAAACCACAAACAGTGAGCACTCAAACGCCAGTGCTGAGTGCAACAAACATCAACTGTGCTTAAAGAGCTGAGCCAAGCCCCCTCCTTGGGGATTCAATCCCCCCCACTCCCCTTTACCCTAACAAGGTCAGACACACCACTCCTTTCCTCTAGACCTGGGGGAGAAGGGGACACAGTCCCGTGCAGTACTCTGAAACTCAGCAGGAATGCCTCCTACCATGGTATCCCATTGGGGAAAATCAGGAGATCCTTACTGCAGTGAAGACAGCTAGATCCTAATACTCAGTTCAGTAGAGCTGCAATGGGGAAAATTTAGTTCAGTAGAACCTGCCCTCTCATTGCAGGACCCTACAGCAGATAGAGGGAGATAGCTGCACTGGGTCCAATTATTTCCCCTACAGCACTGGGGTGAAGGAAGAATAGGGGTCCCAAAACTACAAGAGAAGAGTTATCAGGGGTAGATGGATGTGCGCTTTTCTACTCGACAGTACAGCACCAGACTCCCCCGTGCACGGCCAAGAGAGAGACTCCTACTGACACGCGCTGGCTCAGGGACTCACGTCGAGGATGGGCCCGTTGCAATAGTAGCAGCGAGGGGAGAAGAGATTATGATAGTCCTTCTCACAGTAGGGCTGACCATCACGTTCAAAAAAGTTGCGTGACCCGATTTCCTCCTGGCAGTGGGTGCAAACGAAGTGCTCTGGGTGCCAGGTTTTCCCCATGGCTGTGACAACCTGTAGGGAAGATGGAGCAGTTATGGGGGACGACTCTACTTCTTTGCTGTGGCAACTCACGTGACAACACACCAGGTAGAGTTTGGCACTAACTACACGTTCTACTACTCAAGTGAGCCCTGGACTGGGGTAGCATGAAAACTGAATTACCTATCATCTCAGGAGAGGGCAGTCCCTCAAGGGCAGGGTAGAGGTCACTGGAGGAGCTTACAGCGTACCTGGCCAGTGGATAAATAGAGTACTTCAGTTTCTTCAGCATCGCCAGTCCCTTCAGCCTCATGATACAGCCCTCCCAGTTACTCCTTGCTGTAGCCAAGGCTTAGCAACAAGATGGTGCCTTAGACTCACCTGTCCAGCAATTGGTTTCTTGCAGGCTCCACAAACACCTTTGGCAACGGTAGCTACTCCCAGTTTGTTCAGGTCAGACTGGAGGCTTCCCAACATACTGTCCAACTGGCTGCCAGGTTTTGGGGGTGCAGACGGAGGGGAGCTGCCCCCAGCTTTCCCCTGGGCCATGAACTGCAAAGAAAAAACCCAGAGACTGTAAGGCAAGCCCTGTACAGCTCCTCAGGGATTTCTGCAGTCTCTGAACGTAAGAACAGCCATACTGGGTCAGACCAAAGGTCCATCTAGTCCAGTATCCTGTCTTTCGACAGTGGCCAATGCAAGGTGCTTCAGAGGGAATAAACCGAACAGGTAATAGTCAAAAGATCCAACCCTCTGCCCACAGCTCTTCAGCTGTCCTGCATATGGACAGACCAGGACTTGCTCTGGAGAGGCTAATGTGTCTGCAGAAGCCAGTGAGAACAGGAGCAGGTGCGGAGATGCACCCTTGTTACAATGAGGCTGACACAAAAGTGTGGCTTACCCAGAGACCCCAGGAGCTAGAACAGCAGAGTGTTGAGGGGTGGACATTTGGCTCTCCTCACCCTCCCAATAAAGCAGAGATTACTGGAAAAAATGCTTGTGGGCTGCTGGTAGAGCCCCCACGGAGATCTTCCCTTTACCTCATAGGTTCCTGGCTGGCTTACAAAGGCAGAGACATGCTCTCTGAGTGGTTCCCAAACTGTCTCCCCTTCCCTGTCTCACGCAGTTGTTGCTGTCTCTCCAGTCTCTTCTCTCCTCTCCTTCACAGTCTCCTTCTCACCCTCCCACACCTTCTTGTCTCTTCTTTTCAGGGTATTTTCCCCCTTTTCCTTCTGCA